AAAGCGGCGTAAAACTAAACTCAGTCAGTCAGTATATGTACAAATAAGGGTACAAAGAATGACGTGCTCGTCTCAATCGGTTGCCCAATGTATATGGATCTCCTTTTTAATTCGAATATTCAACATGTTGAAAAAACACGCTTCCCTTGGATATAATCTACGACATTTGACCTTCTGTTATCACACGAAAACGTATTTTTTAACGTTTCAAAAAACCAATATATTAAATTATTTCGGCGTCGAGATTTATTGTGAAGGTATCGAAATTGTATATGTCCTGTGCTGTGTTTTTTTATTTTTAAAGATATACAAGAATGGCTTGTTATATAACATTGCTATATAAACGCAATTAAACTGCCTGTCTGTCTGCCTATACTAGATTGATATTTCGTCGCATGTCCAAAAAAGGAAACGTTTTGTAATGAAGACATAAATTGTTAGGCGCTTCCTTTCCCAGGAAGATGCTGTGTGTTATGAAGCAGTGTCTGTGACGTACAACGACCCCCAATAATGAAAACAATCGCTGCAACCTGCCACACTGAAAACAGTTTCAGTCATTTGTCATTTCAGTAAAAATCACGTGAGAACACTGACAGCGCTAGCAAGTCATAGCACAAGGCGCTTCTCACAAGCTTACTCAGATTTCATCTGATTATTTTGACATGTCTAACAACAGGTGATTACTGTGATAGCAAAGAGGCAATATGACTTCATTTAATGGACATATGACTATACATACCTAGACAATACATAGTATGATTATGTGGATTCATGAAACATAAAAGACACATGTCCTACCGAAACGAACAAATTTGAATTATTTGCTTGATAACTGGCCGATATAATATCTGATATGAGCGATCAAGTACCTACAGCTTCGACCAAATTATTGGATCTCAAAAGATTTTATGAATAGTTTAGTTTTACATTCTGTGAAGGAATGTGTCACACCGATTACTGTTAACTCAAAATTCAACCATTTGAATTATAACTAAAAGAGCGTAATGTCATCTAATCAGTTCCATATTTATATATTTGGCTTCTAAAAAGAGAAAATATTAGCAGGATATAAAATCCTCCGAGACTAAAGCAACCCTGAAAGTGAAAGTGTAAGTTATACATTATATTTAACAGATCGTGTTGCAGTATGCCTACATTCATCCTGTTATGTGTATTGCCTTCTTTTATGTATACCTCGTAGGCATAAAGATGATATAGTCAGGTGAATAATATGAAATCAAGATTTAAGAAAAATGTTCTCCCACGCACGGATTCTCCGAGTTATTACATCACAACAAATCCGGTCCATTATGCACGTTTAATATATCCTGTATATGACGACTCATTCGTCTAACCTATATATTTTAACAAACAGTGATGCGGAAACAAATTGTCTTCACACTCCACGATTAAAATGTAGTTGAGTTATTATACAGGTTGCTTGCACCCTGGGTTCCTGACGATATTAATATGGTATAATAATTATATTTAATATACATAATATGTCAAGTGGCTAACGAACATGCATGAAATATTTGTAGACAGAAGAGCAGAATCATAGTAATAACTATTGTAGTGGGATTCTGTTTGTAGCAATGATTTCTTGTGGATGTGGAAAGGGTTTTCTCGCTTTCATTTACAGTCTTAAGAAATAGAAAAAACAGTCCCACATATGTCAGTTGTAGCACCTAAAACTATATTGTACTAAATGTTGGTACATTGTATTTGTTTCAACCAACTCGTGAATATGATTTTCCCATCCTTGTATGTACATACTTGGAGTGGAAAATGGGTTTTATGTATGTATTTATTTTTTGAAGCCGTGCAATGAGAAATGTTCGAAATAAATGTGTGATTTGCTTCATATTATTTTCATAGCTATTTTGCCGTTTACGACCAATGGAATCCGTTTCGTTGGAGCATCGAGGCGTATTGATTTCCAACGTTGACGTTCTATTTCTGATTCTCTTTTTTTTACACACACAGGAAATGCAAAGGTGAGACATTTATAACAACTACTGGGTGCGCCAAGGGTGTATGCTTAGTCCCGTGTTATTAACACCTTTCGCCAGTGAACGAGAGAGAATGAGTCGATCCTACTTTTGAGAGTGATCTAAAATGTTTTTGCAACTTCATTTTTTAAATGGTACGACACTTTATAATAGGCCTTCGAAGGCGGTTAAGATTGATTTTGTAGTATGGAGGAAAACATAGAAACGCCTAAAAATGTATACCTAAAGCAAAAATATACCATATAAAATTTTAAAATTATTTTAAGGTAACAAAGTACTCAAAACTCTGTCAATCCTCCTCTGTGTCTGTTTTTTATAACTGCTTGCGCAGAAATTTGTTGTAAATATTCTTGGATAGAGGTTTAATAAGTTGTAAGAACTTGTCCCCGATCCTTTTCAATTTGTGATTAAAATGTGTTCAAATTAATAACCTCAGTGCTTTGTATCGCTATATATTTGTTTTCATGAATATCTCCCAGGGTAAAAGGTGATTCTAGTCATTCTTTCCTTCAAGAGTTGTGAACATATTACGCCAATGCCCGAGAATAAACAGTCTCGATCAATCGCCGAAACATATCCCAATGGTGCAAGAGAAGACAAGAAAACTAACGGACCAGGGAAACTCAGTGAATGATTTATGACTGAATATTGCCAGCGATGAAGGAAACACATTTGTCCAAATGAACTATATCGTTATCAGCCTGTGTGAAAAAGAGTTTATTACGTGTGAAAAATATCCAGATCATTAATACGAGAATAATATTTTCGTTAGACTCGATTTTCTTATTAATGGTCGTGTTTTGTCAATTGTAATCAATTTCACAGTAATGTATTGGCAGAAATTAAGATATACCTCAAACAAACAACATCAGACTATTTCTGCAATCTTATTTTAATTCATATATGCATGCATAATATTATCTCCTGTCCCGGGGCAAACTCATTCTTGACTTTTATAATATTGCAATGAGATGGTTGAACTGTGCAAACCATGCTGTTTAAATTTACAAACTAAATACTGAATAAAACCAAAAAATGACAAACACAATAATTTTTCTATCCCTGAATTAATGTTTTTCTACGATAATTATTTCCACGCATTGCAGTCTTAACAAGATTATTAACAGAAATACACAACTAATTGTAAAATTTGATATTGTACAGCACTTGTCCGCTTAAAACATTACTCATAAAACTGCATTACAGTATAAATCCGCAAATATCTGTGTTGATAGTAAAGTTAAGCGCATGAGTTGAATGTAGTGTTAAACCTGGAACCGTTTTTTTTTTAATTAAATAATATTTGTAACTTTGTAAGTTCGGTACAGTTAAGGTGTCCGATGGGCAGTTATAAACCGTCAAACCCGATCAAAATTCGATTGCAATGTAATGTGTTTCAATTTATAAGTAAATTTCATCGATACATGGGTAAGGTGCTATTTCGTTTTGGCGGCATCTACATCAATCTATTTTCTGCAGCCAAGCTTATTTCAAGTGTTTTAGATTAATTCATTTGATTTTCGATATACGTGTTTGTTTGCTGAAATGACAAAATAACTAAATACCCTATGGCTTTCTGTACTCTAAATTATATCTCACCCTTTTCTCAAAACTAACTCTGATGTCAATACCTAACGTAAAGAATAGTACAGGAGAATTTGTTGTAACCTTTAAAGTAAAGTGTAAGGTAATGCCGACAACTACGTTGTATTGAAAAATTGCAAACCTCCGATGGCGGTAGCTGCATGTTAAAGGGACACTGATCCAGAGCGATTAATGTTTCCAGCCAACAGACTAATTACGAAACCTATCTGCAAACTGGTCAGCCCTTGCTCCCTCGACCGTGACGGAAACGGGGACTGGGCTACTGTCCACCTTGGCAGAATTTCTTCAACCTAATCAGTGGGACATTAGGAAGGGTGGATGCCCCTCAGATGCCGTTATTTGAAAATATCCCCGGTAGTTCTTGTTTCATTGTAATATTATATCCCAGCAGTGTAGGCTTTTTCAGATTTTCAAATGTTTGGATGGTATAGTGACTGATCCAATTTGATCCTATTTCTGTGTTTTTACCTCGATATTTAATCATGTAAACATATGATGTCTATTACGTATGCTATGATATCAAAAACACACATTTGATATATTTGAATCCATAAACTAAACAACCTCACTTTGCCGTTGCAAAAACAATCTGAAATTTTACTTAGGTACATAGGTATATACAGTTTTTAACTAAGTACACAGCAAATGCTTATATATATATTTCTTATGTAACAATGAAGTTCCGTTCGTATCCTCAAAACAGTGTCGGCCCATAATTGTTTCTTTCAGACAATCAAACTTGCATGTAATACAGCGATTACTACACCCTTGCTGTAACCCTTGTTTGGTGGTAAACCTACACATGTTATTTGTCATCATTCACTTGATGGTCAGTTAATGAATTTATAACAGGTATAATTAGTGATAACACCACTCAGATTACCCGACAAAGGTTCCCATTTGGCATTTCTAGTGTCTGGAGTAAATACTCATCATTATAAATTGAGGTCTGATGTGGCAAATGTATTACATCTTATGTAATATGCGCATAGCAGTAGGAGGAATTATCAGCTGGGTTACAAAACAATCATCGATCAAAGGATTAACCGATAACACGCTGATTGATTAATTGCAAAAGGTAGTGTTTATGTATGTAGATTTACTAATCTATACTGAATAACCCTGTCTCTTTGTAAAAACAACGTCCTTCCTTCAAAGGATTAATCGTCAATACATTGATTGATTGCTCATTATTGGCAAACTAAATTACTTTTTTAAAGAAGGGCGGACATCATGCAATTAGTTGCCAGGTAGGTTTACTTGGGTGACCAGTGGGACTATACACCAATGTGAAAAACCTGAAACGAAAGTCACGTTTTCGCATATGAGACTGTTAAAAGACACATGACACATGACATGGAACAGGATACTTTGTCAGCAGCAGATGGATTGTATATCATTCCTTTATGTGGATATTGATGGATACATTCCCCGAACAAGGTAATAGCCTGATATTGTTGCTATGACTTTGGTCTGTTATAATTTTAATGTTTGCATTTTGTTTTTACTTATTTGTTATGGCATTCAACAGAATCATTTTGGGGGGGGGGCCGTGAAGTGTAATGAGACAGACAACATACACTAGGTCACACTTAGGGCGTGTGTGTGAAATATGATACACGTTGGCAATCTATGAGATGTCTAGATATTACAGTCATGTTATAAATTCACTAAATATAAGCAGATCGTGTGCATTTTATTAAGTTTCAAAATGCATACAAATATGTCAATAAACTTATTAGGATTATAAGACAAAATATAAAGACGTACATTGACTTCGTTATTTCAGTCCTAACATTTATTACCACTGGCAGATGGTTAAATTTAAAATGTTTTCATTTGTTGTCAAAATAATGCCAGTTAATACAACATTCAGATTGACAGTAGTGAACCCAAGTTCACTACTCTCCCCAAGACTCCCCATGTACTTAGTTAGCCTTACTTTCAAACAATGCTATTACATCAGGCTTCTCACCAAATTCAAGGTCAAACTATTTCTAAATCAAATTCTACATCCATTTACGTTAACATTTTTATAAAGTCAACATTACTATGAAATCAAAATCAGCATTTTTATCAAAGTGAATATTTTTCTATAAGAAACCAAATTATTCCTCAAAGTCTATACATGATTTTACAACAAAATCAACATAAGATTATCGAGTAAAAAAGATTTCATCTTTGTTGATCAGTTTATACTTATACTATCAATTGCGCATGAGGGTGGCGCAGCAGAAGTACCGAAACAGTCATGAATTCTGGGATATCATCCGGGTCTCACTGGAGAAAAACAATAACAAAAGCAACAACCAGTCCACGGAAATAGCTCTGGTTCAGTGTCCCTTTAAACCTAGTTACTGTCCGTGCCAATCTAATCCTCCGGGTAGCACACAGCACAAATATTTTTCTTTTCGGATTCAACACAAGTCATGACAAGGAATTTGGTAAAAAGTAATATCAAATTACAACGCTTAAAATTGGTATTCAAGTTTGAAGCTTACAAACAAACAGGACATCACGAAAAGAGGTGGGTGGAGAACGCGTTGGTGTTGAGAATCCTGGAGTGAAACGTCCAATGAGCGTGTCGCTCAGGATAACAAATCACCTATATGAAAAGCAGAGAGTGTTTTGCACTGGGTGTATGTTTGGGGTTACACATCTTAGGGACAAGTTTGGGGTATCTTCAAAACTAACTATCACCTGCCACGATCGAAACAAGTAAAAAGACAGTCTGCTTATTGTAATCTTTGAAGGGCTGGAAAGGTGCTCAGATAGTTGTGAGAAGAAAGGCAACAAGCCGACACATGAGAATCAGATAGCTCAAACTTTATGAATAAGATGACAAAATTCTACGCTCAATTTGAGACTCCAGACTTCAGTAAAGAAAGGGACAGACATGTTTTACCGTGTTTTGAAATATTACAAATAGCAATCTGTGATGTGATATAATCCTTCTAAAATAAATAGCCGTAATGATCATGATATTTCTTTCAAAGGGTATTTCAAATGTTTATCGTTACTAATTTTATTTCTCTACTTTGGAAAACATCTAACGTTATCCCCTTCCAAAAATTCAAATTAATTCTGCTAGTAATGATTACCGACCCGTTGCTTTGCTATTGATTCCTGTGAAATGCTATGAACAAATTATTACAAAATGATTTTAAAACAGACAGAACATTTACTAGACCAACTTCCGTTTGCCTACAAAGACAGGAGAGCAGTAGATGGTGCCACACTTGCTCTGTTGAACAATATTCACAAGCACCCTGCAACTTTCCGTTCAGTTGTACGAATATTTTGTTGATTGCTACTCTGCTAATACCACACTGCCTCATCTGCTCGTACAAACATAAGCAACATGTAACTTGAGCACTTATTAAATGGACATAAGCAGTTTCTGTAACGTGCCCACAGTGTGTGACTCTAAATGGTATAACATTATCCGTCCACGTCACATCTACGGGTGACCACCTCCACCCCCTTCCCCACCCTACGTCAAGAGGCGGTAGAAAGTCTCCCGCCAGGAAACCAGATCTAGATCCATTAGAACATGTTTGGACATGGGTTCCAGAATACGCCACACAGATCCTGATGTATTGAAATTGGAACACGCAGTCCATCAATAATGGAACCCAATATCCCAACGTCAAATTCAACGTCTGATACAGTCAATGAGGAGGTGGGTAAGAGTATTGTAGTTGGCGGAGGTTACACCAGATATTGACATTGTGCTCGGTTATTGATAATTATGTGATTTCTTGAAGATTGTATGCCAGAATCTTTAAAATAACCGCACTTATTAACGTCATGCGACCATGGTTATAGCAAAACAAAAAGAGTCATTTTAACAATGTTTTGCTTCTCTGAATAAACTACAGGTTTTCTTTTTCTTACGTTCAGACTTGCAATTTAATCGTTCCGTGAGGGTCAGTTTATCAAGACAGTAAGTGAGGTTTGAATAAGTTCCTTTACTATGGTGAATAGTAACGTATTCATGCTGTGAAAAATATGGATTATAGCGATACTTATTTCCATGTGTATCAAACTGCCATACCTCCGACAATTAACGCAGGCTATATGAAGACATTTCATAAACTAATACATTGATTAAAAGGTTGTAAATGTGAATAATGACTGAAAACGTTTTCTTCTGATCGTATTCATACTAGTATCGTTGGGAAATACAGAGCTTAAGTATCTGTACTAAGAACATCCCAAGTACACCACAACAGGCCATTTTCGTGTTATTGCAGGTTCTCTTCATCTAACGTTCATATGGCATGTGGAGGTTCTTATATCCGAAGCTTGCTATATTTTAAGGTTCTTACATCGAACGTTTGTTAAATCGCGTGTTCTTTATATTCCAAGAGCATCATGATAATTATGTTTTCCTTACATCTCAAGTTTGTAAACCAGAGCAATATATCATGTGTTAGGTACACCTGCATATCGTGATACCCTAAGTACATTATTTGCATAGGTTAGGAGCCTACTGGAAACTAATGGGTGTAACTATGAAAATATGTTTTGTTATGATTGTCTCTTTATACACAGTTCTTTTTGTAAAGTTCTAACAAGGATAAAGGTGGAAACATGCGCACAAGAACGTATACATCTGAAATTTGAATCTGACATAAAAAAGTACAAACGTTATCAAAATATTACTTGCTTGACAATAGACTGCAGACTTGTTGTTCAAAACACGACCATGACACTGCAAATCACAATCAAATACCTATTCCGCAATGGTGTCTTTTCTATCCACCATCACACATGGGGGTATAGAATAGTATGTTTGAGTCATACGTGTCTCACGTATGGGAACCCTCATACATAGTGCCCCTTGCACATGTAGTTATATAACGAAGACATACAGATATATAATGAAGACGTACATCTATTATAATGTGAACATGCTGATATATACTCATGCCAATAATGGTTGCCAACCCCCTCCCCACCCCAACCCGACACACACCTCACACCCCCACCCGACACCACCTCTCCAATTAAAAAAATTGAAAGGGGTGACAACCATTATTGGCATGAGTATATGATGAAGACATACAGATATATAGTGAAGACGTACAGCTATTATAATGAGAACATGTTGTTATATAATGAAGACATACATATATAATGAAGACAAACAGTTATTATAATGAAGACATGCTGATATATAATGAAGACATACAGATATATAATGAAGACATACATAGAATGAAGACATACAACTATATAATGAATACATACATATATATAATGAAGACATACATATATAATGAAGACATACAGATATTATAATGAAGACATGCTGATATATAATGAAGACGTACATATGTATAACGAAGACATACTTATATAGAATAAAGACCTACTTATATAGAATGAAGACATACAGATATAGAATGAAGACAGATATAAAATGAAGACATACACATATAAAATGAAGACATACAGATATAGAAGGAAGACATACAACTATGTAATGAATACATACATATATATAATGAATTCATACATATATATAATGAACTCATACAGAAATATATTGAAAAAATATAGGCCTGAAAAAAATGAACTGGTAATGGAACACCGAATAGTTCATACAGAAAAGGTACTGACTGGCATATTGTGTGTTGGAGTGAACATCAACGTGAAGGACACTACAGTATTAATAAATTACACATCCAGTGTCAGAACAAATTCTGTGTAACTTCATCTCGGATATATCTGACCCTTGAGTTCTATGTATAACACTTAATTCAAACATATTGCAATTCAAGATAGATTTGAAAACTATGACATAAACATACTATAAATAAATATAAACTGCAATATAAAACACCTAGCCACACATATAGATATATTTTGTATATATATTTTTAATATTTGTCACAAATAATACAACACATAACACATTTTTTTAAAAACTTTAGGCAAAAAGTGTTACAAAAGACTATGACAATGTGCCTACCTTCTGTTACAGCTATATATCCGTGTTAAAGGACGACTAAAAACGTGAACACACGGCAACAGATGATGCTGTAACGCACCCTTATCTGTGGCATTACGGACGATCGAATCAAGTGTACATCATTATATACTTGTATTGGAAACGGATCTGACACGGACAAAATGAACATTTCTGTGTTGTTCCCAAGCGTCCACATCAGGAATGGTGTTTTCCTGGTAACGCGTTAACAGTTGGTAATGTACGTTCGAATCTCCGGTTCTCAAGTAACCTAACGTATGTCATCAACATCATAACAACCAGCATCATCATCGGTGGTTATTAATGTCCATTGATATGTATGACACATTCACAGGTATGGTCCGAATACAGATTGCTGAATAAATCGGTGCCAGACAAATGTGTGTGACTGAGCTAAATTCTAAGTAGTTTATCCCCTTTTATTGCTGAATCTAATGACAAAAATAATGTTTGTGGGTGGTTAAAACGCTGAATACATATACCCATGTGTACGTTAGGGCCTCACTGAAGAGTGAGTGAGTGATTGGGTGAGTGAGGATAGTTTTACGCCGCTTTTATCAATATTCTAGCAATATCACGGCGGGGGACACCAGACATGGGCTTCACACATTGTACCCATCGAACCTGGATCTTCAACGTGACGAGCCAACGCTTTAACCACTGGGGTACACCGCCGCCCCGCCTCACTGAAGAGATACACTGCTAAGCAGATTCCTAGTTCCAAGAGTAGACATTTCTGATCTGTAACATATTATTGTAGTCATACATGTTTCACTGTTGAAACGTCGGGCTATCTGATTATGATTCACAGTTTGGCCGATAAAGGATTCAATGTCGTGTTCACAATTTGGTCACGTATAAAGCGACGTGCATAAACGAGTTTTTGTGAACGTGTAGTAATCCTCTTATAACAATTTCATAGTGCTAGGGGCGGTGGGGTAGCCTAGGGATTAAAACGTTCGCTCGTCACGCTGAAGACCCGGGGTCGATTCCCCAAATGAGTACAATGTCTGAAGCCCATTTCTGTGTCCCCCGACGTATATTGCTGGAATATTGCTAAGAAAAGGCATAAAACTAAACGCACTCACTTCTTAGTGACAGCTACTATGCCGCTGTCGAACATCGATACCGCATTGAGACGACCAGTCATTGCCTTAACCACCTATAATACCAAACGCCAGGAAGGGAAACAGCAAGTACCATCTTAAACGTTTTTCAGTTGGACTGAACATAACAGAACCTTTGTACTCAGCATACCACGCATTGAGGTCCAAATACAGAGGGCAGAGGAGCGAGACAAACGCCGCACTCGGTAATGTACATGTCTTACTCTGGACCAGACAATCCAGTGATTAACATCATGAGCGTCACCCGAAGTCACCCGATCCCTTTAGTCGCCTCTTACGACAAGCGGGGCTTGCTGAAGACCAATTCTGGTTTGGATCATTAAGATTCATAGAATTACAAATTCGACTGTTTATTATGTGTAGACACTCGAGATAATCATTTCGAATAAACCATATTTTCCACAACCATGCATCTCTGATGTGTCAATACATGTGAAAAATGAGCCCGCGGTGAGACGCACATATGTTGTGCTCATCAGTTACCGCAACATTATCAGGAAAAGAACAGCTCAGTCACGAGCGGTAGGAGCGTAAAATATAGGTATCTTGGTGTTAAAAAATTTGTATATCATATAGAAATGTAAAAAAATCAAGAAAACTTACTGCTTAATACTGATCAGATCTATACAGTGACACCCCCTTAATCCAGACACCAATAATTGAAAATTTTCACCATCTAGACTGATGTGAATGCGTGCATGACTCAGGGGTGGATACAGCTGTGTGTGTGTGTGTGTGTGTGTGTGTGTGTGTGTGTGTGTGTGTGTGTGTGTGTGTGTGTGTGTGTGTGTGTGTGTGTGTGTTGTTGTTGTTGTTTAATAGTTCATTTTCAGCCGTTTTCACGAGAGTTTCCCCTGCATCCCTTAAGGGGAAACTCTCGCATCCCCCCGGATCCAAACCCCCACTCCCGTCTGGATGCATGTATCCAAAGGTATTATAAACCGCACTTTTTTTCATCCAATTTTATCGCCCAGTTTAGCGAGGTTGAACTCTCCCTTTGTATCTTTTACAATTTTACTTTTCAAATTTAAGTATCAGGTTTTAAATGTTACCATATCTGTTGTAATGAATGCCATTATCTCCGCTGCCATGAACTATTGTGCATTGTACAGTATGATGTTGCTTTCAGGCGAACAAATGATTTGCCTTGGCGAGTGTTTGTGACCGATGTTAACGGTGATGGAGAACACCCTGTGCCATCACTTTATTGATACCAGTGTGATATTAGGGAAGTGTTTCTCTCGATTTTTTTTATTAAAGACCGCCGCCATATAACTGGACTATTGCTGAGAGCGGTGTAAAACTAAACTCACCCACGCATTCATTCTCTCTCTCTCTCTCACACACACACACACACACACACACACACACACACACACACACACACACACACACACACACACACACACACCACACACCACACACACACACACACCGTCTTCCTGTCTGTAGGCTTACGGTACCATGGATTTGGAGAAAGGCCCCGAAAGAAATATTTCTAAGTAGGCCCATTCAAGCCTATAACATGTGGCAAGTTTAGATTACTGAAAATGAATCATAATTATCATATTACATAAAGTGAATATAAGAGCTCTTTCTCAGGAAAATATGTTCAATTCAGAGACTAGATGTCAGTCTAAAGGCTACGGTGTTGGCAAGTCTCCATATTCTCAGGAAAGGTCTTGGTGAGATCGGCTTGGCATCGCTTCCTGAGAGAAGTCCCATTCGTTGTCGGGTCTGGGTGCGGTAGGGGCATAGGTACCGACGTACCTAAGCTGCCCATGAATCTTAACAGCATGACTGTCGCAGGATACCTGCTCTGCTGCATTCTATTTAAATCTTTAAAACAAAATAATAAAATACATAAATCATATAAAATAATAACAATAATTGTCGTAATTAGTATACTCTTCGCCTTCATCAAAATCGTGTTCTCTTTATCTCGCTATATCGACACAATTATGTCATCATTACCATTACATCAACGCCCACTCCCTATTCCACATCTAAACAAACGCGTTTTATGCGAGCCCCCAGTTCGTGTAACATCCGATTCGCTTCACGGAAAGCAAAAAAGAACTACAATGACGAAGCATTACCCAAGAGAAGGACCCATTTCCCCGAGATACCACCAAGTCACGTGACCGCCGCGCACGGCAGACACGCCGCAACATTACTTCCTGGTTTGTTTAGTAAGTGAAGGTCGCGCCGCTCCCTTGAATGCCACGAGGTCATATCAATTACCTTGGCCGTCACCGCAACATTGACTTGGGTTTTTACTTCCTGTGCAGGCGGATGCTTATAAATTCCGTTTTCAGGGTTATCTAGTTTCTGAACGTTAGCGCAGGTTTGACAGACTGACAATAGGAAAGACATCTTTGTTCAGGATGAAATGTGCTCCGATCGTGGTTTATCATTTGATATGGAAATGATTAATTTGAAATAATAGATGTTTTAGTGCGATAGTCTATCTCATTAAATAATCTGCATATAATACATAATCACACTATATAATATTTGCATTATCAATAGCAGCTGATCGCTTGCCTGCTTATGCTGGCCCGTGCAATATAAATATTATACTCCTTACTAGAGGTACTTATTCTTAACAATAAATAGTATGACCGACTTAGCCTACTGTAGGGCAATTCAGTTCATGCTAGATAATTCTTATCTGTTAGTAAAAAAAATAATTTTGTGTCCAGTTATCACTAGTTTAGTAATTTCTTCATTCATTTCATGGTTTATCTATCATTAATAAAAAGGATGAATCGCCTAAGTCATCCAAAGAAGCCGGGATGTTGTTTGATGTAAGGAATAGAGACGGCGTGGGTGAGTTTAATTTTACGCCGCACTCAGAAATATTCCAGCTATATGGCGTCGGTCTGTAAATAATCGAGTCTGGACCAGACAATCCAGTGATCAGCAGCATGAGCATCGATCGACACAATTGGGATACGATGAAATGTGTCAACCAAGTCAGCGAGCCTGACCACCCGATCCCGGTAGTTACCTCTTACGACAAGCATGGGTTACTGAAGATCAATTTTAACCCGGATCTTCACGGGTTAGGTACGGCATGAGAAAGTATACCTAGTCTGTCTTTATGTGAATGAACTAGGAAAGAAACGTAGTTAGATTTTAATACTTCTATTTAACCATCACTCAGTCCAGCAGCAGGTTGTGAAAACAGATTGGTTCAATAATGACGACCAGACTCGGGAAATGAATGTGCAATCACCTGACCCCTAGTTTATCGTGATGGAAATGTTGATAATGGGTTCATGTGTGATTCAAATAAATTACTGATTTTCACAGATAAGTTTTAAAGATATTTAAAACCAGATACTTTTTAAATTGTAAAATGTTAAAGTCAAATTATATTCTTAAAAGTAAACTGATGTATACGTATTATTTGAAAACTCCGACTAAACGCCTGAACCCTCCCTTGTTTGAATAGAATGATAAGATACGTTTAAGTGAAAATGAGAAAAAACAAATGTGATGTATACTTTCATTGTCTCTGCAATTCGTAAGCTGAAAAGGATATATTTGAAAAGATATAGAATCTGATAAATCGCAATTTGATGAACAGATTTACAGGCCGATTAGAAATACACAGACTAGTAGATATGATAGGGATGTATACATACACATCTCCGTTTACGACAGACAGATAGATAGACAGATAGATAGATAGATAGACAGATAGATGGATGGATGGATGGATAGATATATAGATTTAGATGGATGGATAGATAGATAGACAGACAGATATATAGATGGACGGACTGACGGAGAGACAGAAAGACAGACAATCAATCAACGGATGTAAACAAATAGAAATTTCCAAAAGTATCTGAGAATTTTCGTAAAACGTAATGCATACCGAACTTCCTCAAACCTTATGTAGTTCCTAATATTACATTATAAAAATAGAAAACCAGTCAACAACTTCAATTACGCGTCGCAGTATCAATCAATCTTTTAAGAATCACACCACGACATAGATGAATTTTCAATATCCGAGAGACTACCTCGCTGTTCCCGAGAACGCAGCGTTAGTGTGCAGCCAAGCCTAACGCCTAGTAACGGCCTTCAAACATTCCGCTGAACGGTTTCATATATAGACAGACTTTAATTCGCAATAATTGGCAGGCAGGTCTCCAGACCCGGCTTACGCCGACGTAAAACCTCAATCAATCAGTCAGTCAATCAATGTGTGTATCATATAATGGCTAACCTGATACGAAGAAGACTGAGTGAGATTAGTTTTACGCCGCTTTCAGCAATATTCCAGCAATATCACGACGGATGGCACCAGCAATGTGCTTCTCA